TATTTATTTTATTTTAAACAATGATTGAGACATTAAAAAGCAAAATGAAGTGTGCAGTGGCAAAGTGTAATAGCGAAAACAAAAGGAAAGCGTGCTATATAAGTTTTTTTTCGTTTCCTACGGACGCAAACCTGGCGAAAAAGTGGAAGCAGTTCTGCCGGCGAGGACATGCATTAAACTACAAATCGAGCTTTGTGCTATGTGTGTGAGCTATGAGCTTCTACATGGAACTATGTTGGCCTTTCCTTGGTGAATTGTAGTAGGTATATTTCCATGGTTAATGTAGACAGTTGCTGGTTTAGTTTGCTGGCACCGGCATACATACAAAAGCAGTTTATACAGTAAATAGATACATGAACTTCACTACCTACTTATTTTTGTTAGTACCTGATTCTTTTAGTGCTGGTATGAGGTAATGCACCAGTGGATAAGGTCGCCAGGCGCTAATTCAAGCGGCATCTTACCCCGCTGTTACGTACCTAATACAAAACAGTGCCCAAATTATTATACATTTAAAAGTTCCGCTTAAATTATGTTTTACTGACAAAGAATATCTGCTTCCAAAGAAGCCACATGCATCCTCTCGGAAATGGTACAAAAGTCATCAAATAAAAGTTGTGGAGTCAACAGCTGTGGAGTTTATGGTGGTTGGCTACCGTCCACAAATATAAATATGCACTCTGCATGGCTTTTTAAAATGGCAAGTCCAAAAATTCACTTTGCTGCACACCTTCCTTTTGGTCTACATGAAATTGAAAACACTGTTAATACATCAATTTTTTCGGGTGCTAAAAATGCGGCTTTAAAGTCGACAAATATGTGGTGAGTGTCGATCCTTTTCTCGCAGGTCTTTTCCAAGATTTGGCGTATTGTGAATACCTGATCTATGGTGGATTTGCCAGGTCTAAAGCCACACTGATAAGGCCCAATCAGTTCATTGACGGTGGGCTTCAGTCTTTCACACAATACGCTCGATAAGACCTTGTAACCTATGCTTAGAAGGCTGATCCCGCGGTAGTTGGCGCAAATGGCAGGGTCACCTTTCTTGTGGATTGGGCAGAGCACACTTAAATTCCAGTCGTCGGGCATGCGTTCATCTGACCATATTCTGCACAAGAGTTGATGCATGCACCTTATCAACTCCTCGCCGCCGTACTTGAATAGCTCAGCTGGCAGGCTGTCAGCTCAAGCGGCTTTGTTGTTTTTCAGCCGCGTTATTGCTATACCTCATCATAGTCTGGCGGTGGAACGTCGACTCCGTCATCATCGACTGCGGGCTCGGGTTCTTCTTCTCCACAACTTTCCGTGCTGCTACCATTTAGTAGGGCGGAAAAGTGTTCCCTCCATAATTTAAGTACGCTCTGGACATCAGTTACTAGGTCGCCATTATTGTTCTTACAGGAGTGCGCCCCGGTCCTTAAACCTTCCGTAAGTCGCCTAACTCTCTGGAAAAATTTTCGGGCATTCCTCTTGTTTTCCAGCATTTCAAGCTCTTCGCACTCACGTATTTCGTCCTCTTTCTTCTTATTGCGACAAATACGTCTCGCTTCCCTCTTCAGATCCCTATAGCGGTCCCACATAGCGCGCGTTTCGCCCGATCGCAGCGTGGCCCTGTAGACGGCATCTTTTTTCTCTGCAGCTTCCTGACACTCCTCATCGTACCAGTTGTTCCTTCGGGCTCGCTGAAAACCGACTACTTCTTCGGATTGGATTAATAATTAAAAAAAATATATATTTCTTCTTTATTATTTTCATACTACGTACATATGTAAATACATATGTGTATGTAAACTTTGAATATAAATCACATTTTCTTCATTGGTATTAATCTTTTTTTAATGAATATTTGTAAAATTATAATTCAACATATTATAATTACACTAGTTTACACGAGAAATTAACCTCTGTAAAATGGTATTTTCTAGGCAAACTTTGGGTCGTTGAATACGAAAACAATACCCATTTCTTCAAAGAAGCGTTTTCGAGATATTCATAAAAAACGTTATTCGCCAATATCTCTTTAATCGACTTAAACGACCTACAGATCGAAAAGTATTGATGTTCCCTTTACAAAAATACATTTATAATTTGAGCAGAATGTGCCATAACGTCTACATTTCTCATCCGGTTTTCATTATCTTAGGCTCAAAATTTACTGTAATGATTTCACTGTTATATCGAATTTTAAAAATAATGTAAAATAGAATCAACTAAAAGTCTGAAATTCTCACAAATTATCGAAAATTTCACCTTATTCGACTTTGGTCATTTGTAACACATTTAATTGAAATCGGCACAGGCTAAATGTTTTTCTAAGAGGCACATCGAACTGTTGGGCCATTACGTTGATTAATATTGACGAATAGCTCCGAAAAATACAAAAAAACTCGTTTTGCGAAAAAATCTCGAAAACGCTTCTTTGAAAAGATAACTGCGTATTGTTGACGTGTTAAGCGAACCAAAATTAGCTTGAAAAACGTTTCTTTCTTAGATTCAAGCGATAAATCAAAATTTTTAAAGCAGTGTTACTGGGATTTTTGGTGTTCATTTTGTAGTCACCCATTGTCTATGGCCTTACAAAATTTAGAACGCACTGACTTGTTGAAGCTTTAAAATCAGCCTCATCCTCATGTAGTTATCAATCAGTTATTGACATTGCTTATATGATGATAAGTAAAGGACTCACGCTTAATATTTTAAAATATCAAATAAAATGCGGGACAAAGGCAGGACTCCTGGAAAAAATCAGTACATTTTGAGGTTTTTCTGTTTCGAAAAACCACGCAGGACAGACCTTTGAATAACAGTACGGTCCTGCAAAAAAACAGAACGGATGGTCACCGTACATATATCCTAGGATTAAATGCAGAGGTGGTAGGACAACATTTTGTGCTTTGGCCAATGCACAGTGGCCAAAACCCTGGCCAAAAGTCCAAAAAAAAATATGTGCATTCGTATGCATAACCATCTTATATTGTTAGGAGGGCTCTACTGCGTATCATTATGAGACAACAAGTCGATTCTCTTAAGCCATTTAGTGTTACAGGAGATCGAAGTGACTGTTGCTAGCAATTCGCTCTAAACTTTTCATAAATTAGAGTTTTCGTCGTTGTTAAAATCTTGGTGTTTACCTTAAAAAAAATAACAGTTTTCAAGCATCCGCTCATGGACATTGTAATCTAGAGTATGTAAAACATGTTTTTTGATTGTCACGCCATCTAAAAACTGACTTAAGACGTTTTTTGTTTACTCATTATGATGGATTCGGAAAATAGTTACGAGAGTGGTCGAGATGGGCGGTCTAATTTTCTTTTTCATATAGATTGAAGTTTTTCCCATCCACCTTGGTTAAAACCACCTGCCACAAGCCGCCACTGTAGTTTGGACATCAGTTTTTATACACGATTCATAATTTTTTTATGTTTAAAAGATTTAAATTATGTAAAAAATTATTTCTGTCAAGATTTTATAGATTTTTTTAAAGATTGGATGTTTTTAGAATTTAAATGATGTCAGAAAGTACTACTATATTGGAGTGGTCATCCATGGGCCTCTCATTACTGAATGGGCACCCCTGCCAATTGGGCAACTTTCCGAAGAAGCCCAAGAGTCAAGGAATAAGGATATTCAAAAATATCGGCTGCTTGTATCCTCGGACCCTGTCATTTCAAGTTTACGTTTAAACCCACCAAAACAAAATCATAAACAGTCGTCAGATGCCATTAAATTATTATCAGCTGTTGTAAATGCGGATGCGGAATTGCCATCAGAAAATATAGATATGAGCTTAGATACTTCAGATGACTGCGAGTCTGACGGTGTATAAAATTGTTATCTTAAAAAGATATTCCTGTACCGACAAATATGTATGTCTTGTTTATTGATTCATTCAAAATCCCGCAGTTCCCGTGTAAATTTGAACATCAAGATTTTTAGAAACAAACAATAAGACTCCTTAGTATTTGTCGGAGCTTCTCTTCCGATTTGTGGCGTGCGCCTTGATGTTGGCGCACAAAGGGGAGGGACCAACAGTTTTACGCCGAATCCGAACGGGGATTTTATTTTTATGAGAAGCTGTTCTTCGTGCCTGAATACACTCGGAGGTTTGCCATTGCCTGCCAAAGGGTGAATTTATTACAAAAAACTTGTTTGTTTCTTATTTTTTGATGTTGGTCGGAAACAGGGCTTGAACCCAGACCCTGCGGAATGATAGCGTATATTGCTAACCGCTACATCACATTATATAACAAAAAAGCAGAAAACATGACCTTTTATACTTAACTACCTTAGTTTTGCTAAAAATTTGATTACTTTAAGCGTACACAGTAGCCATTATGGATCCGCCATTTTGAATTTCGAAATTATGTGGTGAAATTTAAAACCAGCAACCAAAATAAAGACGAATACACAATGTTTGATTACAATTGTACCATGCTTCGACTTTTGACCAGCTTTTTCGAAAAATGGGCCACTGTGCAATGGGATGTTTAAAACGTTTTTCCTGCCTATTTGATTCGGCTCTCGGAATGGCCATACCTAGCAATCATAAAAAACGTCAAATTAAACAAGTAAGAACGTCGGAGAAGAAGTTCGGGCGGAGCTGAACATTAAATACCCGGCGCAAGTATTAAATATATGTTTTCCACCTTTCCGAAAGCTACCGCTACATGATAAGCGGGTGTATAAATATTAAGTAAACTAGCATCCTTAAATTTCGAAATATTGAAATTTCAAGCATTTCTGAAATTTACCGTTATATGAAAAGCGGCCGTAATTTTAGTCCGATTTCAATAATTTTCAACGGTTTGCTTTTATGTGGCAAGCACAATAACAATACCGAGTTTGGTACAAATTGCTAAAACGCTTAACGATATACATATATGTGATCATAAGTGGGCAGTGCCACGCCCATTTTCCAAAATTTTATCATAAGCGTATGTTAGCGCAGTTACTTGCTTGTTCATTTGAATGTATTAGTCTATTT